AAAAAAAAAAAAAAAAAAAAGATAAAGGGAGAAGTTCCCCAAAGAGGTGAAACCAGACCCAGATCTCCATGAGGCCAGCATTTGCTTTGAATAGACAAAACTTGGGGTTGTAAGAGCCCTAAAGCATGTGGTGTTTGGAATCTGTTACTTCGTATGGGTGTGAAGGTTGGAAGGACTGGGGAAGGTGGTGTACAGCCAGACTGTGAAGGTTATTAAATGCCACACTAGGAGTTTGCACTAAATCTGAACATGGTATAGAACCTTTGAAGAGTTTTGATGGAGAGCCACTAATAAGTACCGTTTGTATAAAGTTCTTTGCTCGGCACAATGCTTATCTTTTCTCATTTAACCCTCAACAGCCCTGTGAGATAAGCATTACCTTTCTCCAGTCTCCAGTGATGGGGACTGAATCCAGGGCCTTGCACATGCTAGTCGTTTGCTCTACCCCTAACCTGTATTCCCACGCCTAACCCCGGTTTCACAGGTATTTGTCCACTTGAAAGTACAGAGGCATCTCAACAAGTTCAGAAACAAACCTGTGCTTACCCAAAACCTTTAGTTGCTCATAGCGTCTGAGTTTTGCCATCTTCATTAGTTACACAGCTATGGACCTGGGAATTCTCTCACTTTTCATAGTCAGTCTTCATGACTTTTGACTCTTATCTATGAAATGAGTTGTGAATTTGTGCAGTGTTCATTTCTGCCACCTCAGTTCCAGCTACTTCTTGTCAGGATGACCTTCATGACCTTTAAGGACATTTTCTGGAGCAGCTTTGCCCCTTCCAGTCTATTTGTCATGCTGTGTATAGAAATAAAGCCCTTTATTTGTACTTTGTAACTCTCAGGACAAACTCTGATGGCTTGAATGTGGCCGCAGTTCACTGGCACCTGGCCACCACCGACCTTCCTCTTTTCCTGCAGCTCCGTAGTATCACTGTCTTACACATGTCCTCCTCCTCCTGGAAAGCTCCCACTGCCCCTCTCCTCCTTGACACTGTTCATGTTCTCTTCTCTCACAAGTTGGAGGCCRCTTCTCAGGAGCGCGTATGTTATACTCATTCTTGAAGAGAGCTATAGTGGAAAAGGATGAGGACTTAAGAAAAGAAAATGACAACTTTTACTGGGAAGCATTTGTAAGTGCTTTCTGCATGGAAAAGGATGGGCTAGAAACTGAGGAAGGTGGAGTTGGGCCTCCAAGTGGAAGTGTTGACAGGCATGAAGCCGTGACCCTGGTGAAAAGTAGCGAGCACCTGGCTCCTGGGAGGTGTCAAGTGGAAAAAGCAATGATCACTGAAGAGGTAATACTAGTAAGACTGGTGGATGGAGTGAGAAAGGTAAAGGACAAGGAATATAAACAGTTTTAAACTTGGAAGTTCAAAGGAAAGAAAACAAATGCCACTTGATATCATGATTTTGAGTGATTTTTCTTAGTGCCTTCTCAAAACCGGCATGAAATGAAAGTTATTGACTTTCTTTTGAAGGCCACTCACTGTTTTTAAGGAGAAATCCATTGTATCTGAATTTTGAACAGGTCGCCAGGATGCATCACATCCAGGCAGAAAGCTACCTGGTATACAGCATTGTCAGCAGTGGAGAGATCGAGTGCAGCAACACCTTGGAAGATGAGCTTGACCAGGCCTTGCCCAGCCAGGCCTTCGTTTACCGTCCCGTCCGACAGCGTGTTTATACTCTTCTCCTGGGCAGCTGCAGAGGTAAGAGCTGGATGGTCTTTCTCAGTTACAGTTCCGTCTGACAATTAAGTAGGTTTTGTTTCTCAGTAAAACATTGATTGAGAATAACATCTGTAAATAATTAAGGAATAGTGCCAGGAGATGTCTATTTTAATTAGCAAGCAGTGGATCAGCACTCATTAATGAAGAATGCGTTGTTTATTCCTTAAAAGGACTTGTGTTTTTTTTTAAAAATGAATACTCTTTCCTGCCTGAGGACTACAGATACTTATTATTAGAAGACAGTGTCTACTTAGATGCTGCTCAAACTGATTTTTCATAAAATAATTATACAATATCTAGTCATTTTTTTCCTTTAGAATTTTGTAATTAAGTTTATATTTTCTTCTATCTCTTATTTCCATTGAATGCTTAGCCATTGATAGTAGAGGACCATGAATGTCCAGAATGGTAAAAAGGACTTGTACACCAGGTGTTAAGATAATCAGGTCCCATAACTCACTATTAGGAGTAGTTTGAGGGACTCAGGAGTGAGGAAGAGCTCCGCATATTGGAAACCAGGGGTGCATAATTGCTTAGTTCTTTGTGTGAAGCCTTGCTCCTCTTAGAAGGAGACCTTAGGCAGGTACTTTATGATTGGACGGGTACTCTGATTGGACAGAGCTTTGGTTAAGAACATGGTCTGAAACTAGCAAATAAGAGGATGCTTGGGGCCCATTTGCTTGACTGAGCACCATATTTCCAGGCATATCAATATTATTAAGACCAGTCTGTTATTCCAGAAGGTAGATGTTTGCATAATCTAAAGATACTGATGCAATTTCCAGATGAAAGAGCTGTCTTCCTTTTGGTTTTGGTTTCTGTTTTGTTTTCTAGTACTAGGGAGTGAACCCAGGCTCTGGTGCAGGGCATATAGCCCTCTACCATTGAGCTGCATCTCCTTGTCATTCTTTTGGGAGGAGGCAGTAGGGTCTTGGAGCTCCCAGTTGAGTAGACTCCTAGTGCCACACAGCATGCACTGCCTCCTCCCGTGTGATGTGCAGACACAAGGAAGGTGCCAAAGCACAGAGATAAATTCTAGGACCAAATGCCAAATGTTTGAACTTGAATTTTTTTTTTTTTTTGGTGGGGGCTACCAGAGATTGAACTCGGGCACTCGACCACTGAGCCACATCACCAGCCCTATTTTGTATTTTATTTAGAGACAGGATCTTATTGAGTTGCTTACTGCCTCACTTTTGCTGAGGCTGACTTTACCCACAACCCTCCTGCCTCGGTCTCCTGAGCCGTTGGGATTATAGGCGTGCGCCACCGATGTGGCTTTCTGCCCATAATATTCTTTCTTTCTTTCTTTCTTTTTTTTTTAGTTGTTGATGAATCTTTATTTTATTTATTGATATATGGTGCTAAGAATTGAACCCAGTGCCTCACACGTGATAGGTAAGCGCTCTACCACCGAGCCACAACCCCAGCCCCCATATTCTTTCTTAACTTTAATAATTCTATACTCTAGTGATTAAAAGGTGATATCTTCTCAAGAAAAAAAATTTACATTATAGTATAATATTTACTAGGTATTGTTTTTAGACTATTTTGGTAAGTGATATTTACTACCTAGATTTTCTTTCTTAATGTAACTTACTTAGAACCCTACAGATAATGTTATTAGATAACCACATAAATAAGAAAAAATACTCAAATAGAACTTGTCTTCACATTTTATCTTTACTTCCTTTCTTTCCCCCTCAACTTTATGGATTTGCACATGAAGTTTAGTTTCTTAGAATACGAAAATAAAACTGGGCGCAGTGGCACATGCCTGTAATCCCAGTGGCTTGGGAGGATGAGTCAGGAGGATCACAGTTCAAAGCCAGCCGCAGCAAAAGTGAGGTGCTAAGCAACTCAGTGAGATCCTGTCTCTAAATAAAATCCAAAATAGGGCTGGGGATATGGCTCAGTGGTCGAGTGCCCCAAGTTCAATCCCTGGTACCAAAAAAAAAAAAAAAAGAATATAAAAATAAAATGCTTTGGCTTTATCTATGGTGATTAACAGTGGAGTGTGCTCTGTTTTTTGCCTGACTTAAGTTATTGTTCCGTGTGTACCTAAAGGTGCTGTGTGTTCTAGTTACAGATTGAAATGTTCTGTGAATGTCAGTGATGTACTGATTTCCTGTCTGCTCATTCTCAGTTGCTGAGAGAAAGGGGCTGATATTTCCAGCTATTACCATGGATTCATCTTTTTTCCTATAGTTCTGTCAGCTTTTGCATTAAGTATTTTAAAACTCAGTTGTGTGGTGCACATACATTGTACCAGTTCATTGTTTCTTAATGAATTGACCCTTGTAAAAAGTTGAAAATTAGATCTTATTTTTTTAATCTGGACTACTCTTTTCCACAGTTGGCTTTGTCGGGTCACTGTGTACACTCAACTTGTGTCTCTGTGTGTATAGTGTCTTTTTTCTGTCCTTTTCCGTGTAAGGTGTTTCTTGTTATCTGAAGTGCACTTTTTGTACATAGCATGTCCAGTCTAACAATCTCTGTGAGTGAAACGGTCAGTCTGTTTGCATTAGTGTGATCGCTGATGTTCTGGAGTTGCCTTCAACTTCGTTCTTTGCTCTGTACTTTCTCCTTTTTTGACTTTAGGATTCTTTGGATAATCTTTAGTATTTTTTTTCATGCTCTCATATGGAGTATTTGCCTTTTTTGTTTTTTTTAGTGGTTGCTTTAGGGTTTATCATGTGTATCTTTAACATTACACTTTAGTTTCACATAGTACCTTGCCACCTTCACCTTTTGCATAAAGACCTTTTATTCCTCTCAATATTTTTATTATTATTTCATGTTTTTAAGAACAAACTTGGAATAATTATAGATTTGCAGGAAGTTGCAGAGACAGCACTGAGATCTTCATGCACCTTCTCCCGGCTTCCTCTAAAGGTGGTGTCCTTTTTTTTTTAGTTGTAGATGGACACAATACCTTTATTTTGTTTATTTTAAATGGTCCCAGGATCAGACCCAGTGCCTTATGCATGCTTGGCAAGCGATCTACCACTGAGCACACCCTGACCCAGGGGGCATATTTTTTTGACCCTAATATACATCAAAACCAGGAAGTTGACCCTGCTGCAGTCATACTGCCTGCACCCCAAGCTTCTCTGTGACTGTGCAACATGCACAGATGCAGTCCCATATAGCTGTCTCCCATGCTAGAATTCCTGTGAGCCCATCCATAAGCAAGGCACAGAGCACTGGCAGGCCCTTAGCATCCTTCCCCTGTGGCTGCTGAGCTGCTCTCCATCTCCTGTTTCTGCTCGAGAATACAGTGGTCTGTGGTATATAACCTCTGGAGATTGCAGACGGGGTTGGACCCCACAATACATGATTGTGACTGCTAGTTTAAGCCAAGCTAGCTTTTTCTGTGAAGGGCAGAAAAGCATCTTAGGCTCTGAGGACCACCATCTGTCTCTGCGGCCTAGGTCTGCTGCTGCAGTGTGAGAGGCCTCCGGTGATGGGGTGTGTATGTGTGACTGCACACCAGCAAACCTCTCTCTGTGACACACCTTGGATTTTACATCATTCCCGAGTCATTAAGTGCCCTCCTTTTTCCCAACCATTTTCTTTCTTTCTTATTTATTTATTGGTGCCATTGAACCCAAGGACACTTAATCTCTGAGTCACATCCCCAGCCGTTTTTTATTTTTTGAGACAGGGTCTTACTAAGTTGCTCAGCCTCAGCCTCCCAAATTGCTGGGATTACAGGTGTGTGCCACCACACCCAACTCCAACCACTTTAAAATATATGAAATGCATTGTTAGCTTTCAGGCTGTGTGAAAATAAGCAGGCCAGGTTTGGCCGTGAATGTAGCTTTCCTACCCCTGTTCCGAACAGCTGTGTTTTAAAGAAATCAGAACAGCTGTGTTTTAAAGTCACAGAAAGTGTTTCTGTGCTCTTGCCAGTTCTTCATCCCTCTGCACAGCTGCAGGGTCCAATCAGTGCTGCCTTCCTTCATCTGAAGAACTTGTCCAACATTGTTGATGGTGCAGCCTTAGATATCCTGAGCGTCTTTCCTGAAAATTTATTATTTTCAAGGTTTGGTTTGCTGAATATGGAACTTCAGGCGTGTTGTTTTTGCATTCAGCATGTTGAAAGGTCCTGGTATGTTTCTCCTGTGCTTTTCTGTATGTCCTCTATCTTTTCTTGATAGAGGTCCTTCACATTGCTTTTTCTGTATGTCCTCTATCTTTTCTTGAGCTGCTCTGGTTTTCTGCAGTTTTATGAGGAAGAGCTTTGCATTGTTCGAGTTTCTGTTCCCCTATGAGTTTCTTGAGCTCCTTGGATCTGTGGGCTTTTATTTCCTGTCTGTTTTTGAAAGAAATTGAGTCTCCTTTCATCAAGATTTGCTTGTGGCGTGGCTCCCTTCGCGGCTTCCTCAAGTCTGTCTTGACTTTTCGTCTTCTGCTTACTCTCTCATCAGGCATCTTTGGTTGGCTTGCTGGAATGTTTAGGTGCTAGGATGGCTAGCAGTTAATTTTCTATTTTAGCAGTTAATTTTCTAGTCCTTGAAAGTTTATGCCTTGGMGCTGGTACCACCCTGCTCTTTAGGCAGGGCCTTCCTGGGCAGTCACCTGAGCTCCCAAGACCGCTTGCCCTGACCTACATGAAATTCACTGCTTCTCCTCTCCTCCTGAAGTCCTCCACTCTCTTTAGCCTGGGGATGGGAATCACGCTGGCATCTTTGGCTTTGGGATCGAGCCCCCTTCCCTCCCTCTGGGCTCCAGCTATCTGCCAGACTCCACATAGCAGAGTCCTCACATTTATATCCAAGCTGTCTCTGGCAGTTCCTGAGGAACTGCCCAGGTTGACAGCACAGAATTTTTCTCTGGCTTAAACCATGCTAACCCTAGGCATAGGTCTGATCAATTCTGTTTATCCCTCAAGTCCTTAAAACTGACTCCCCTATATCTTCCCTTATTGTCAGTCAAAAGTCCATCGCTCTTACAGCGTATGATGGCTCTCATGCTTAGACTTTTCACAGTTGTGCTTTCATTCCTGTGCCTGGTTGTCTGTCCTTCTTGCTGGGCTGAAATGTTGGCAGGATGGTTTTTTGCTGCCCCTGGTGGGTTTCTTGGTGTGCATCAGGTATTGAGTTTAAGGGTTTTGAATGTTTAGTTAAAATATTAGATTTTCAAGGGTGTCTACAGTTAGCAATGCAGAGAAGGTAACTTGTGATTGGATTTAATACTCAGGTGGGAGACATGTTCTTCAGCCTTCTCAGGTTAGTAGCAGTCTCCAGGCCAGCCTGACTAAATGGAGGGACCACTCATTCTCATGGTGCAGACCCAGCCTAGAGCCCGGCTCACCCTCACATGGCCTGAGTTGGCAATCTCAAGTCTCAGGCAGTGGGCTGGCGTGCTGGTCCTACAAGCTCCCACCAAGGATACATTTTGGATCCTGATCTCGGGCATGTCAGCTCACCTGATGTCTCACAGGGAGCCTCAAAGGAGTGTGTGTGGGTATTGCCACATGTGTGCTTTGTGTAGTTGAGCATGTGTTATTTGAATGTCCTGGATGGCATGTGGTCAACAGGGTGGGAGCCCTAAAGTCCCTGCCTTCATACCCATTCTTGCCTTTGTATCTCTTTTTGAGTCTCCTCTAATGGATATATCATAGCTTGAATCATTCAGTGAAAGCTTCCATTAAACRTAAGGGTGTAGAAGAGACTCCATGTAAGAGGTGGGATCGGTCTGCTCTGTTCCCATAGCTATCCATGGTTGACGGTGTTGGGGGAGCCCATGCATGCTGGCAGCCTCGGACCCATTGTCCCTTTTGCCTCATTTCCTTCCAACAGACATCCCAGGAACCAGGGAAACTTCAGGATGGTCGGTATATTGTCAGAGGACAGCCATTGGCCTTCTGAGCACAGCCCATCCTAAATATCCACTCAATAGGTAACTTTTCGGATGTGTGTAAAAACTAGCATATGAACTGAGGCCATACACAATTATAGACTAAGGCAGCAATATAAAAATATCATAGAACCAGAAGGAAAGATACAGCTTTTGAAAAGTTGGGAGATTATTACCAAATTGGAACATCCCAATAATGAAGGGCTAACATTGCTGTTCCTTCTCTTTCCCCCTGCCCAATGTAGCCCACCCCACTCCTTGATCTTGCCGGTGATGGCGGGAGCTGGTACTTAAGAGCGTGTGTCTGTGTGTGTGTGTGTGTGTGTGTGTGTGTGTGTGTAGTGTCTAGCAGAGTTTTTTAGGTGTGACTGTGTGTGTGACAGTGCTGATCTGGACTAGGGATTGAAAATGCTGCATCTGAAAGGTCAAACTGGATGTTGACAACACAAGCTCATTCTTCACGGATGCTGACAGGGCTAGCCCTGAGTGCTGTATTTCCTCCTCTCGGCCAGGGGGAAGCAGAGCTGCACAGAGCCTGCCAGCAGAGTCAGATGTGACTTCTGCTAATGCAGAGTCTGGCACACTGGCTTCCTGGCTCTTATTTAAATGTCCCTGCACCTGTACTCCAAGGGACAGTGCAACTTTAACACCTGTCTATTTATTACCAGTTCTTCTCCCTCGCCCTTCCCTGGGGTTTACCAGTTTCAGATGAAATGTTATCTGGGCAATAAAAAATCAAGCCAGCAGTATAATTAGCTTCTGTCCTCTAGCCAGCTGGTTCTATGTGTGGCAGCCAGGAGTTTTCCTGTGCAGAGTCTGCGTAGTACATAGCTGTCTGTATTCAGCAATTTCCCAAGGATACTCTTGGCAGTGCTGTTTCCAGTGAGGGAGGAAAGCCACTTGTGGTTTAGCATGCTATCCACCCAGGATCTTCCATTGCAGTGAAAATCACCTCAGTTGGACCACACAGAGTGGGTGTTTTTGTTGTTTTGTTTTTAACAGCTGTAAGAATACTTTTCAGGGTGTGTGTGTGTGAAATTCAGGATGAGTTGAAGTGTTAGTTCAGTTCATGAGTGTCTGGTCTGGCCTTCTGCTAAGAACAGAGTTTGCTATGGCAAGCTTAAAGTTGGGGTTGTATCCTGTGGTTAATCAGTGGGCATCAGCAGTACCTGGCCAAAGCTCTGCATTGGAGAGAAGATAGGAGGGAAGGCATTGCTGTGTGGACTCAAGGCCACAGACCACACTGAGACGCAAGGAGAAAGGATGTAACCAAGTGGAGAACAAGGGAGGTGGCAAGGGACAGTTCCAGAGCAAAGGAACACTGTAGCCAGCAAAGGAGGAACAGTGAGTAGGAGGCCCTGAGGACCTGCAGCCAGGTAGGCGACTCTGCTGCAGCACCCAGAAGAGTTCTGGGGCAGAGGTAAGCAGCAGGCACTTGTATTCAGGAGTATAGCCATTGGGAGATCTTAATTAGGCAGCAGCCTGGTTAAATTTTCATTTTAAAAAAGCAAAAGACAAAAAAAACCTCCCTCCATTTGCATTGGAGATTGGCTTGGCTGAGGCTAAGACTGCAGATGAGGGCCAAGGACCAAGCCAGCACCTCCTCGGTGCCAGTGTGCAGGACAGGGGGTAGGGGGCAATCTCAGGGGCAGTTCTCTTCCCAGGCAGGGCACAGCCTAGATGTGATGGGCATGCCTGGGTACTGGAAGTGGGTAGGAAATGATGTATGGAGAGACGGTCAGGCTCAGGCTTGTTGATGCTTGGCACCTATGGAAAAAAGCAAGTGTAGGGCAGGCTCATGTCCTGGAGAGATGCACCTGGCTTGCCCAAGCCTTCTGCTCAGACCCTGCTCTGGCCTTTTGTTCCTGTTGTCTGATTTACCTGTTGTGCAGTTGTAAGGACTCCATGGAGAATGTGTTTCTGCTGTTGGCCAGTGAGGGCCAGCTTGTGCTGGAGCTCGTGAACCCGTGACACTAGCTTTAGGGATGGGCAAGAAGAGAGCAGCTTTGCAAAGGAGGAGATGGAGTGGGGAGGAGCCTAGGAAGGATTGGGTGTTGATAGGCAAGGGCCAGTTGCAGGGAGAGTGGAATAAACACACAGCGTCTGCTGGGTGCCACAGCAGCGACATCTCAGTAGAGCAGGGTGGGGGCAAACCTGAACAAAGGATGTGAGGGCAGTGAGTAAGGCGTTGGCTTCCCAGGTCAGCTGGAAGCAGTGACCCCAGAGGGCTGTGGGGGACTCAGAGACCTGAACACAAAGGAGCTCCGGTGAGAGGCTCAGGAGACGGGAACAATGCCTGCAATGTGTGGTTTCTACAGACTCAGTCTGAGGTGCAGTTAGATTCAACCAAATCTGTTTTATTAATGCTCATTACACTTCAGATACACATCCTATTTCTGAGTCCTAAGTGAGGCTACACACAAGGGTCCCAGGCATTCACTTGTGATGTGTTTTAAGTCCAGGTCATTGGAACTCGATCCATGCCAGAGGAGTCTGGTGCAAGGGGAACAGTAGAGACAGAGGTCTCCGTCTCTCTATCCGGGTCTTGTTAGTCCCACTGGCCCCTAGAAGGCTGGGTTTTTAAGTCCTAGTTCAATTGTGCTTGTAGCTGATAACTGGGTGAGCTCTGGGGTCTACCCCCTGGATGTAGACTCTTACAACACTAACTTAAGTCATATCTAAGTTCTGCAGTTAGTATCTAAATTTTGTAGTTTACCTTACTCCATGGACATAATACTTAAAGTCTTTATCTCACACACACACTAATTAATATAATCCACAGTCAGTAATCCTATTATATTTTCTGATACTCATCATACTGGGTGCAGAGAGCCCTCTGAGCAAGGGAGCCAGTAGCCCTGGGGGCAGGAGGAGGGAGGTATGGAGCAGGGGCTTGTTCTGTTGCTATGGAGATCCTGCCGCTGTGCCTGAGGGTTTCCAGACCAGCAGGAGTGTTGAGTAGAAAGTGCCCTTCACATTGGCATGCTGAGTGAGACACAGAAGTGAGGTCAAGCTGAGTTTTCCTACAGTTCTTCATCTGTTGTATGTAAGCCCTTTTGTTCTGGATTATTGTACCAACCTTTTTCTTTTCTTTTTTTGGTACTGGGGCTGGAACCAGAGGAGCTCTACCACTGAGCTACATCCCAAACCCATTTTATTTTTTTATTTTGAGACAGGTTCTCACTAAGTTTGCTGAAACTGGTCTCAAATTTGTAATCCTCCTGCCTCAGCCTCCTGAGTTGCTGGGATTTAAGGTTTACACCAATGTGCCTGGCTTATTGTACCAACTTTTTTCAGAGTCTATTAAAGATCGAAAGGACTTTTCTCTCAGTATTTTCTGCCAGAGTATGAATAAAGGGGGAGGAACCTGGCAGGTCTGATCCCCAGGTTCTGGCTTTCCTTGGAATGAGGGCTGCCTTCAGGCCAGGGAAGGAAAAAGCTGTCAGTGCCTGGTCCAAGTCAGGTCCCCTCAGGGAGAGGACCTCTCATGGGGCAGACGCGTGCCCACAGACCAAGTGGGCCTCCTGCCCTCTGACCTGCTGTCTTTCCTTAGATGACATCAGCGCCAGCCTGGCTGTGAAGGAGTGGTTCGTGTACCCCGGGAACCCGCTGCGGCACCCGGACCTCGTCAGGCCTCTGCCGATGATCATTCCAGGTATGGACAGCCGTGGTCTGTTCGATGTAGGATGTGAGCCCAGCGATGAGCTCTGCAGTGCTGTGCAAACACTGATTTTCCTTTCAACCTTTGGCCTTAGAGGAGCGCATCTCTGGTAAGGTGTTCATGCTTTAGAGGACAGGTTCTGGGCCTGTCTGCTGCATGCTTCTGCTTCTTCCTCTTCTTGCTCAAGGCCCAGAGCAGTGGCAAGGAAGAAACGCGAGGCTGTGATCAGAGGCCACTGCTGCCCCGTGCCCTGCCTGCCTCTGGGTGCTGAAAGCACCTCTGAATTTACAAGGTAGGGTTCCTGATGTTCTGCTTGAATAAGCTCGTGTCTTCAGAAATATATTTTTTCTAGGGACAGTACTAGAAAGGGGAGATCAAGGAGACTGGTTGGATCTGGAAAAGTAAGTTTTCTTTTCATGGCCAATGCCTTAGAGCTTTGTGAAAAGGAAGGAAAAACAAAGGTCATGAAAAACCAGCTGAAGTGAATCCCAACATCAACCTTTCTCTGCACAATTCTCAATATATGAACACAGTCGGGGCACCCAGCAGTTGGGCTGTGTCCTGCGTATTGATAGCTCTGGAGAAGGAAGGGTGGGTTTTAGAATTTATATTTAGTAGCCCATGTCATTATTTCAGAAACAAATATTTTTTCTAAAATTTTGATACTCTATTTTCATATGCTAATTCTTTGGCATTGCCACTTTACATTCCATGAGTGTATATTACCAAATATGGATCCAAGCCCTGTAAGTAGTTTTTTTAATAAGTGAAATTATACCAGGAGAAATGTTGAGAAAAGTTATTGTAAGGCATATTTCCTTTTTTGTTTAGTTGTTTAGCTGTGATAGACTCAACCCTAAAAAAGAAGTTATCACAAAAATAGATTAAAGCACATTGACATTTGATTTTACATTAAGAAGAATTTTTTATAGGGTAGCCAAAATGATTTTCCAAGAGTGCTTTGTTGTACGTATAACTTCCATCTTATGGTATCTTTCCAAAAGTTACATGGAAATGGCTTATTACAGTTTTCTTCATGATTCAAATTAGAATGTTTGGCTGTTCATCATATCATGTGTTAATTTTAAAGTCTGCTGTATATAAACTCTAGAAATCAGGTGAGTATTGGAAAAAATCCTTTTGGTGGTCTTGAAAGCATTCTGCCTGGCATCTGGAGCTGCAGATGGTGTGTGCAGTGCCATGGACCATGGCCTGCTGCCTCTGCTGTCCCCAAAGGCCTCGGCTCAGACACGTGTGTGTTCCATAGCTAGAAAGCTAAAAATATGACTGGGAACTTGTGTGGCTCTTTGTTTATAGTTATGTTGATAACAATCAGTAAAAAAGAAAAGATTTTAACAATTTAATGCTTTTTAATAGGCATGACGAATATTGTGGAGTGGTTTTTGAACTAGAGGGGCAGGCAGAGTGTCTGTTCCCCATCACAGGTGTTCTTGGTGGTGTGGTATTGGGTAGCAGTTGTGGGATCCTGCAGACTGACCTTTCCTTCCCCATCAGGAGAGCTTGCAGGGTGCTTTGCTGCCTCCTGTTCTGCTCGTGGCCATGCCAGGCTGACAGCAGTGCTGCCCTCAACTGAGCGCTGCCTGAGTTTCCTGTCCTTGAGGTGACCTTGGAGCTGGGGTTGTGGCTCAGTGGTAGAGCGCTCGCCTAGCACATGTGAGTGCCTCACTTCTGACGGTGGGAGAAGTACCCCTGAGAACACTGGATGGTTCAAGGGACAAAAGAGAGTGAAGACTTCCTTCTGAGACCCTGGGTTCTGGTGCCTTTTGGTTAGCCGCTCTTGTTTCTTGGTAAACACATATTTCCTTGTCTGGACATTTAGGAACTTGTCTACAACCACCTATCCATAGCCTATTAGGCATTTTTCAAATTTTATTTTCATTTTTTGGGGGATATAAATTTTTAAATTAAATTTATATATATTTTTAAGAGTATTTATTTTTTTAGGTATAGATGGACACAACACAATGCCTTTATTTTTATGTGGTGCTGAGGATCGGACCCGGGTCCCACCCGTGCTAGGCGAGCGCTCTACCGCTGAGCCACAATCCCAGCCCCACACGTGGGAACTCTTACCCCAGCCGTCCCTGTGCTTTTGGCATATGTTGTGTGGCAGCGGCCTGACAGGATGTCAGAGCTGCTGAGCATCATGGAGAGGTTTTACCCTCCACCAGTCTCATGGCGGCACCTTCTCGTTTGCTCAGGGTGGAGCTGCCCATGTCTGCTGTGTCTTCCCCACATTCACTGCTGCTTTTCCTTACTTAAGTAGATGAAGGGTTTTTCTTTTGACTTTTAAAGAAATGTATGTGTAAAGTACAGAAATGGAACACTAAAAATCAGTTTTTTAGGAATTTTTCTGAAGTTTAGGGCAGTGCTTTCTGAAGCGTGAGGTTGAGATGCCCACCTCCTGGCTTGTAGAATCCCTGGCGCACCTCCCCTGAGCAGAACGTCCCCACAGATCCCAGGAAAACACATCCAGTGGTCCTGCAGCCGGTTCTCTTGCACCCCTCACAGCACACCCAGAGGTGTGCCACCACAGGGTGGCGCCCCTTGTCACACCCTGGAATTGCCCAGTGGAGTCTGTTTTCAGAAGCATTTCCAACAGTGGGAGCTAGAGTCCCAGCTTCCCACAGAAGAAGGTTTTCAGTGAAATGTGTGTACTGACCCTTCAGGTGTTGTTCTCTTTTAAAACTGGGAAGCTGTGTTCATATTTATGTTCCAGTTTCTTTTAAGGTTTGAGGCCTCAAGTATAGAATGAAGGAAGAGATGTTTGCACTTGCTGAGTTTCCAGAGGAAGCTTGTTAGTAGTTTGGTGCTGCAAATAAAAAGAGTAAGAAGGCTTTTTTTTTTTTTTTTTTTTTAAATTAGGGGGAACACCCAGTCTGAAATCACTGTGGCTAAACCAAGAGCCAGCAGTGCAGGCCCGGCGTTTGGATGCACTCCTAGCCTGTTTCAACCTCTCCTCTTCAAGAGATGAGCTGCTGGCTGTCGAAAGCCCATTGAGAGCTCTGTGCTGCCTCTTGATCTACCTCTTTGTCCAGGTAACACTAAGTTTTGTTGCTGTGTCTGAAGCTGATCTTCATTCTGGCCCATTTTTCCTGGGGTGCTATGACTGTCCCTGGGGTATCTTTTCCCAGTGTCTCTTCCATGGAACACTGACTGAGTTGCTCATGGAAGAAGGAGGCTCTGTGAGGGCTGGGGTTGTGCTCAGTGATAAGAGTTCTTGCCTAGTCTGTATGAGGCACTGGGTTCAATTCTCAGCTCCACATATAAGTAAATGAATAAAATAAAGGTCTATCAACATCTAAAAAAAAAAAAAGGCTTTGTGCTCGGATGTGACCAAGGGCTGTCTCTGCTCTAAACTCAGGAGTTATGGTACATGTTAGTCAGAAGCTTTGGAAAGGTGAGGTGCTTTGGTTTCACTGTCTCAGGCTGTCATCCCTGCCCTTAGTCCTCCTGTGGTTAGTAGGTGGCTTCTGCTTCTATGTCCCTTCTGCTCCTGGGTCCCATAGAGTGGTGGGTGAAAGTGGCTGGCTTCTCCCTTGGTTGCTCTGCCTTTGGGCAGTCCCTGCAGCTTCCTCAGGTCATGTCCATTCCTTTATCCAAAAATGTTTACTGAGTATATGACTTCCTTTTCCAATCTGCAAACGAGATAATAGCAATAGCTGCCTTCTGGGGTGATTGAAAACCATATTCTAGAGTACGTGAGACGTTTTGCAGTCGTGCCCTGTAAGATGTCCACTGATGTCCTCGCTATTCTTGTCACTGATGTTCTCCTGCCTTAAGAAACTCATGTGGCCCTGGCTATGGACTGCGCCGTAAGAATTGCAGTGCCAGATCCTTCATGTTAGTGTCACTCAGCAAGTTGGTCTGTTTGTTTTTCAGTAGTCTTACACTTAGTTTATGTAAGAAAATCATAAAAGCCAATTAAAAGGCATTTTTTTGTTTTTTTTTTTTCCCCCCATATTTGTGATCATGTTGGACACTTGTTAAAGCTGTCTGCTTCCCACACTTCAGAAACATCATTCCTGCTTGTGGTGTGTGTCTCTCCTACAGCCGTCAGGACGGTCCCAGCCCTGTGAACGTCAGGCCCCATCTCCCTGTTGCCCTCCCTCTGGGGTGGGTCTGCTCTGGCATGTATCGTTCAGCTTCTAGTTGTGTAGAGTGAAATGTCATTCAGTTATTGGTTACCTTTGAAAAACTCCCCGATTGTGGAATTGTACCTGTACACCGACTTTCTTTTTTAAGTGTTCTCTGCCCATTCTGTAGCTACCATTTTGTAAAAACAGGATGTGTTTAGACAGATCTTGTGTTACTGGTTTTATAGCATATACTAGTAGAAACTTTAGTTTTTGTTACTGGATTGAGTAGAATACTTCTTTGTACAAGATAGAAAAGCATAAATTTATATAGATGTCAGGAATTTTATAATATTTAAGTGTTAAAATTTCTTTGGTATGTGCGTTAACTGTCCATCAGTATATCATTGGTTACTTTTTTTCATCCATTTTTCATTTATCTTCATACATCTATGGTTGAATTTGAGACGTAGTGAAAACTGGGAAGCAGTGGATAGCCAGAGAGTGGACTTTTCTCACCCTTAACAATGAGTGCTTTGCTGGCAGTACTGTGTGCAGTGGAGTGGCATGCATCGGCACCCTTGGGATGGGCACGTTGAGCGCCTTTTCCCTCAGTGGAGATGGCTTTGTGATCCATCTCTGGTCACGCGACAGCTCTCCTGTGCTCCCCTTCATTGTGCAGGCAGGAAGAGCCCAGCATCCCTGAGCTTAGCATCATGTCCACTTCATAGAGACTTGGAACAAGGCAGCAGGGAGACGAGGATTCCACCCTGTCCTGACCATGACCTCTCTTGGCGCAAGTGGATATGTCAGTTTGGTTGCAGAGGAACTTTCCACAGGGTGTCCTTGAGGGTGGAAAGGTGCTGTGCTTCCAGTTATAGGGATGATGATTCTCAGAATAGGAAGCCACAAAGGTACATTTGTGAAAATATTAGTTTTGTGTAGTTACACTTCAGTTTGGTGTTTTGCTATGCAGTGTGGGATGAACCTGCACGCTGTACAGTGTATGGAAGCTGTAGAGGAACTCACTCTTCTTGTTTGGGCAAACCTTCAAGTTAACAGCAATGACAGAAGACCAGGACTCATGAGGAGGTGGCAGATGAGCGGTTTGCAGTGGAGCAGCTACTACATAAGGTGCGCTAATGAAAACCACTGCCGACAACAGGAGGTCGGACTTCCCAGCGCAGACTGTGAGGAGTCTCCATGCGTTACAGAGCAGTGCCCTTCTCAGAGGCTGGTGGTGAAGAAGAGCCTGTCGGAGCAACAATGGCGAGAGGGGGGATTGCAGCCAACCTCAGTCTGAGCAGAGATATGGGAGTTCATGCTTGGTCTTGCTTCTAAGATTGACATCCTTTTTCCTGGTCATGAATACTGTACATATGCAGCTGATTTCCTGAAATAATTTACATCACTGTCCTTAGTGTAAAGGTGACAGCACTTTGGAGTAAACATGGAACATGCCCGATCTTGGTGAGAGCCTATCTGCCTGGGTGGTGTGGCACATACTCGAAGCTCCATGTGGTTGGTGTCTTTCCAGTGGTGTCTCATGGCCAGGGTCAGCAGGATTCCCTAATAGATGGTCTCTCAAAGTTACAGTGGGCCCCTTTGCTGGGAGTGGACATGCCAGCATTTATTACTCAGAAGGGATGGGGGACCCAGGACTCCTAAGTTCACTGTTGTGCTTCTTCCCCCTAGCCTGCACGTGCCACATTGTGCTGCTGTCCATCTGGAAAAAGCCCTTGCGTTCTTGTGTAGTAGTGGAGTCGGGGGTAACTGGGTAGTGCAGTGGCCACGAGGACAGTGGCAGTCTCAGGTGTGTGCRAGGTAGGAGAGAGAGGCAGAGGCACAGTCTGTCTCTGCTCYTCCGGCTTCTTCATCACCACAGCTCACTTGAGACTCAGCTTTCCCACTCTGTCTCTTTCCCTTGTTTCTCTGTCTCTTCTCTGTATTTCTGTCAGCCCTTTTGAATCCACAAAAAATGAGAGGGTTCATGCTGTGGGACTCTGGCAAGAACACAGCTCCATTTAGGTTGTCGGAGGTGGATGTGCCCCTCCTGCCACCCCAACTCTGCCTAGCTGTGGGTGCTGTCTGGAGAGCCTGTGTGGTCTGCTCTGTGGTGTGTGCCCAAAGTGCTCGCCGTATTGTTCTAAGACTCGACTTGGTTGGCACCTCCTGATCACTCCCAGGCAATCTGAGCCTTTCTTCCTGGCTAGAGAGGAGTCAGACCTTACTGGAAATCCAGCTTCCCCTGTCCAGCTTAACCTGAGTCATGTGCACAGCTGAGGACACCAGAGGCTTTGAGCCGGGGGTTGGGTATGTGCTTTCCCACAGGCAGGCCTTATTGCTTCCCCAGCTTAAGAAGCATTGTGTGCCCACATGTGTTCCCACTTGTGTTTCTATGTATACGTGGCATGCCCATGTTCAGTGACTCAGGTCAACTACAGAAGCCTTGGATTTTTCTTGTGACCTAATGCAGACCTTTTCTGTTGCTTTCAGGTGGACACACTCTGCCTGGAGGATCTGCATGCATTTGTTGCCCAGGCCTTGTGCCTCCAGGGAAAATCAACCGCCCAGCTTGTGGACCTGCAGGTACAGACCCCACCAGCCAGGTGCCCCGGTCTTGAGATGGCCACTCTGTGACCAGAGGCTGTGTGCTTCCATCCCTTTCCACTGCAGTGGTATTCCATTGACAGGATTAGAAGTTGTATGTGCCGAGGGCTCTTCTCAGGCAGTAGCTTGTCTTCCTGCTGCGTGGCTCTGAGATGGGCCCCAGGCCAGATGCTGATGGTGCTCCTGAGTTCCAGGTCCGAGGCCGATGGTTCTCGGCCCTGGCCCGATGGTCTCATGATTTTGGAGAAGAGCTTACTGAACTCTTGGTTAGCATTACTGTGGGGAAGTAGCACCTGTTCTGTACCTCTATGTGCATGCTGCATGTGTGTGCATATGTGTGGACTGAACATGTGCACACTTTTCCTTGTCACTACTCACTGCATTAAACAATGCAGTGCAGCAACTATTTTTGTAACATTAATACTGTGTTAGATGTTATATATGATCCAGAAATGATTGAAAGCACACAGGGGTGGGGACATGGGAGCAGAACATACACAATGATACATAATCTCATGCGTGGACTTGACCATCCACAGGCTTGGTTTCTGGGGAGCACTGGGGCCAGTCCTCTGCAGGTGCTGAAGGACGATTATTCACCCATTTGTTTACACATGTAGAAATACCCAAGATAGGAAATCAAGAAATACAAGTCCTGAGCTGCAGTAATTATATAAGGAAAACCAGGAGAAAGAAAGAGAAAGGAGTATTTCCATTTAGCAGAGAACAGAACATGGCTTTTTCCATGCTGTGTGAAGGACAGTCCTGCGAATGCTGGGACACTGCTGTTGGGCCTGAGGAGGAACATGAGCTTCCCTTGGAAGGTCAGCCCACACCTTCTGGTCTGCAGGTTGCCAGTGTGACTGGCCTCATGGGCTTCTGGCTCATAATTCTGGGGATATGCCTGTGTTTCACCCTTTAGTAGGGTCACATGGTGGATGACAGCCTGTGTGAAAACAAGCATGTGCACACGCCAATGTTTTAGAGTTTGAGTAATTGTCTTTACTCAAATTAAGTAAGTTACTTATGCACAGAGTTGTAAGAACAGATACCAAGAATTCCCTTCTTCAGATGCCTGGAGGACAGGAGCTTGGGTCTTGGACCCTGAGGAGAGCTCTGCCAGGGCCAAGGAGTGGCTGGCTCAGGTCCCCTAGCTGGGCAGTGTCTTCGTGTGCCCCGACATAAATGCTGTGGACACTGGTGTTTAATGCTCACTCACTTTGTGAAGTGGGAGGAGCCATGAGTGCTGGTTCACGTTGTAACTTCTAACTCAAGTGGGCTACCTGCTGTCTCAGAATTTAAAAGGGGGTGATAGCCACCTTGTCCACCCCACAGTGCTTTGTAACAATCTGATGTTTGGTCAGAATAAATTCCTCTGTAAAACAGGTCTGTGATGGTTTAGATATAGCCTCACTGGGGCCAGCCCTGGCGTCCACACTCTGGGATGCCTCTTGAGCCTTTGCCTGGCCTGGGGTTCAGTGGCCATCTAAACTTCCCTGTGGCCCCTGGAGGACCAGCAGAACTCCAGCTTTTTCTGCCCTCCTGTCGTCTCTATGGAACTCTGTACAAGAATGCCCCCACCCCCTGGAGCTTTGTCCCCCATTTCTTGTCAAGTAGAAGACTCCCCAAGCTGAAAACTTCTGGATCTTTTTTTCACACTGAGAGCTCAGTGAGCTGGGGTCTCCAAGAGGCTAGCCACCTTTGCATGGCCACTCCTTAAGAAGTTCTTGGTCATATTTTGATTGGGGAATTAAAAGAAAAAAACATTAGTTGATGTTCAGAGAAATTCTTTCACAAAGTCCAAGCTGTGCCCTGGTGAAAAGTGGCTTGTGGGCATGGGCTGCTTCTGCAAGGTGGTCCCAGGACTCCCAGGGCGAGCGCTGGAGCCCAGGCGGTCCCCCACTGCTCATGGGTGTGGAGCAGAGTCCCTTCAGCCCTGGGTACTCTGAGGGCAGAGAGGAGCATGGAGAAGCAGGGAGCTGTGTGCTGACCTGTCCAGGCTGGCACATCACCAGTGGTGGTTCTGTAGGCCTTCACCTAGGGCCCTGTGTGCTCAGCAGTCACCTGACACCAACTTTGCTGCGACAGTTTGTAGCCCTCCGAACCAGGCATTCTCCCAGCTTGCACCAAACTCTTGAACCTTTGTTGTTGGGAATCTCTGTTAGGTGAGTTGAAAATCTCCCATGATTCACACACATTTGAAACTTTCACACTCTGATAATTTGGGCTGTAAAGATTCTAGGAATGATTTGGAAGATCTCTTAAAATATGTCATCTCCACTATTCTCTCCAAAGTGACAGGGCTGGGCTCAGCCCTTGGGGCCTCTCATCAAGGTCCTGGGGCTCGGTCCCTCTCGCGACTGTCCTCTGTGTTCATCCTACCCTCATCTCTTCTGCTGGTTCTGCCTCCTGGCTGGAAAACCCTAGTGTCTTCAACTTAGGATGGTGTTCTCCTCCAGCGTTGCTTCCACTCCTGGGCCTCTCTGGTCATCAGGCCAGCTCTGCGACATGGGTGTATATTCCCTCTCTCCTTCATTTCTCCTTCAGTTCCTTCTAGTGAAAATCCTGCTCCCCCTTGCACAGAACCACCAAGGCAGAAGTTAAAAGCCCCTCGATGCCACTCAAGTAGGCACCCGGTCTCTGCACCTCTGGGGTTTCCTCTGCTGAGCCTGTGCTGTCTTTCTACTTCTCTGTTAAGTGCAGCTCTTGCTCTGAGGGTGCGTGCTGCCCCCTCCACACACACACCTCCCACAAGGTGGGTCTGGAGCATGTCCTGGGCTGGTTGCTCTGTGGGATCCTAGGTCAAGACAGTGAACCAAATGCCTTCCTCTGCCAGACTGTGGCCTCTTGGAAGGAAGGGGCCCATGTTTGGCTCCTGGTTATTTTCAGTACCCAGTACACTGCCAACAAACATTATCCTCTGCAACTGAAAGTACACCAGCAGTTCCTGAGATGGGCGGTGTGCATCTGGCCCAGTCGTGTGGCTGTTTAATTGCATGTAGTGCTGCATGGAGCTGCCTTTGCAAACGTTCCCTGACCTTCCCTGTGGGGTTCCCAGCAGTACCCTTGGAAGAGCTGATTGCGGGGGTGGCACTGGCCCTGGGACCCCAGAAAGTCAGAGGAGAGTGCCCTTCCTCCCTCTGGAGACACCCACTCCGTTGCATGGAAGTGCTGCAGGTCTGTCAGCTTGGTGAAGCCAGGAGCCCCTGGGCACATGTGGGTGTGGATACCTGGAATGATTGGGGTGGGCTTGGTGGGCTCCTAGGTTGGAAAGCCAGTTAGGGCTCTGGTGTTGATGGTGTCAAGGGAGGGAGAAGAACATGTGCCCTGTGGCCGCTCACCCCTGCTGCCAGGATCCGTGTTGGCTGAGCACCACATTCTGCCTATGTCCTGTGCTTCCTCTCTGGAGGCTGCCTCTTCTAATTTCAGCACCTTCATGTGAGAGAAGCCGTGAGCACTGCAAGGCCATCCGGATTTTGAGACCAGGTATCATAAAGCAAAGCCAGGGGAGGTGTGGGTCTGCACAGCTGCATCTGTGAGTTGAGGACGTGGGTGCGGGTGATACCTGGGGCTTTCCGAGATAGTGGGTGGGAGAGTTGGGATCTATTTACTGCCTGATCTCACATCCTTGCCTTGCCACGCCACGTGGGCATCTGTGGTGGCCTGGGTGCTGCATCCTTGGCCTTTTAAAACTAGAGGTGGATCTTGGACCTTACCTTTATATTTTGTTCCTGTTTTCAAATAATGTCTGAAAAAAGTGATTGTGAACAGTGTTTTCAGTGATTCAGACACTGGGCCATGACCCCTGTGAGTCCCCTGAGGGACAGAGGGCTCCTGGGAAGGATTTATCTCAGAGAGTTGTTGGCTAAGCAGTGGAGCTGGCTCTCCTAGCTGGGTTGTGAAAGGAGATGACTTTCCAAGCCTAGCAGGGTCGTGGAGGAGGTCCGTCTTGACTTCAGGGGGCCCTGTGGGAGAACGAAGGCATGCCACCCAGTCAGAGGGCTGCTTCCAGTGAGGGGCAGCGATGTGTTTGCTGAAATCTGGGGGAACATCCTGGGGGCTAAATCAATTAAAGAGAGAGAAAGAAAGAAACCAGGAAAGAAAATGGAGATGTGTAGAACGCAACCTTTCAGTGACAGGTCCAGAGTCCAGGCTTGAGATACAATCGAGTCTTTCTCCACTGGTTAGGAGGGGTACTGTGTTGCAACCACTGAGTCAGGTTCTGCTGCCCAAAGACTGGTAGGATGCAGAGTGCCCCCAAAGCAACCCTGTGATGTGGGATGGGGGACTGCCACACTGTCTCACTTGCCCAAAGGGAGAGGGGCGATGGGGAAAGGGTGTGACTTGGGTGGCCACCCCACTGGAACCTACTGGAGTGGGGAGGGCACAAGGGAACACTTCCCAGGACTCTTGGCCACCTGCCCATCAGATAGGAAGGTGGGTGAGGAGAATCAGAGAAGATCGTGCTCTGAGATGCATGGGGCGCGGGGGCTGTGCTGAGCCCACTGAGGTGTAGGATTTGCAGGAGACCAAAGGACCATGGATGCGAGGAGTTTCCTGTCATTGCATGCTGTTGAAAAGCATTTTGCTATTTACCAGCAAATAGGTAATTTGTTGAAATAAACACATCAGTGAACAGTGATTCCGGCCTTGTTCTGCCTTTAGTCCTGTTGGTTGTGGATGTGATACACAGAGCCCCACAGGTCTTTCTCAGCCTGACACCAGGAGCTTGGGGTCATTTCTGATAGGGGCTTTTTTCCTTTAAGTGCTGTATCCACATTTAGGCCCTGACAGAGAAAGCATGAAGTAGAACCTGCCCACACCATACATTTTTAAATGGTAAGGGAGAAGTCAAAAGAAGAATGATACATCATGATGTGAAAATTACATTAAATGAACGTTTCAGTACCTGAAATCAAGTTTTATGGCACTCAGCAATTCTCATTCATTGTGCTGTTTTGTCTGGGATGCAGAGTTGA